TGTTTCCGAAGAAATGGTATTTCATCCGAAAGACTCGTCAACACGTTCTCCATGAGAGCAAACTTACAATTCATTTTGTAATACAAATTGTGTTAATTTGTTTTAAATGTCAAATAACTTTTACAGTCAAAGAATACCTCAGAATCGAGACCTAATGTAAACAACATGAAGAAGAAGAGTACGGACCAGACTTGTGGAAACGGTAGACGAGTCAGAGCTTCCGGGTATGTGACAAATGCCTTCACATTTATTATTAGATTTGAATTAATGTGAATATATTGAATTTATATACTGTATTTATTATTAAAATGCTTTTTATACCAAACCGGGACCACTTTTGACCACATCGGCCACATTTACATCCAAATCGTGAGCCATTGCTCCCAACACAGAGAATATTACTAATCCAGACTTTGAAATAAAATGTTTGACAATTTAAATGCTCAATGTCCAATAAATTTACAAATACTGAAGCTTACAATTATTGATGTAATTGTATCCAAAACACTAACAATCATCGCATCTCTTAAAAGTGAACAATTGTTTTAATATATTAAGAATATTAATGTAATTTTAAACAATTACTGGAAAATGTTATGCCGAAAGTCATTGTAACTGCTAAACATGATAAGCCCTCCCATCGCAACACTTAAGCTGAAAAACATTTGTCCGGCCGCTGCCTGCCATACCTGAACTCATTTATAAATTGTTGTTAATTAATTAAAGTTGAAAATATTATAGAATTTTGTTTAAAAGTACCTTAATTTCCAAGAGTTTATCCCATTGTGGGACTATGAAGAATTTGATTCCTAAATTGAATTAAACAATTATTTAAAGCAAATTTTGTGATTAAAATGTTGATGAACCTACCATCCCAGGCACCCTCTTGGGTTATGCCAGCAATTAATAGTGATATTAAGATAACATCTGTTAATAAATGGTAAATTTTGTAACATTTCGGCCATAAATTCCCAAATATTATAATTAACTTACACGGGAAAGTTGCCGCAAAATAAACTACTTTTCCGCTTGTTTTTACTCCTAATCATTGATATTTTGAAGTTAATATCAGTTATTTTGAAACTAATTAAGCAATTGATGCAAACCTTTAAGAAGGCAAAGGATAACAATTATCCAACTGATGGCCAGACATAGGGCTAAATCCCATTTAATGCCATTCAACTGATCAATTCCTGGCGATATATCCAATACTTTACGCCTTATATACGGTTGAAATTTATTGTAACAAATTGGTAATTATATGAATGAACAAAAACTTACTCCCAAAACACCTTAATATATAAAAATATATAGTTTTAAAAAGTGAAAACATAGTAATAAATAATTACTAATCATGAATACCTGACTGGAAGAAACTCCGTCTGCAAATGTGGACTAAAACAAAATCTCAATTTTAATATAAATATAACGAGAGGTCTATTTTGATGTTTGCATACATTTTTGGACCTAACCGTACAATTGGTGCCATTGGCCCACTCGGGGTCACACCTCTGCCACGGGAGCTCCGATGTGAATGAGTGGCCGATAAAGTATAACGTATATGACATCACCTTATTTTCAATGCAAATATAATGTATAGTATGGATGGTATGAATGGTATGGATAGTAATTTATAGCCTATTCTTGCGAAATATTCATAATTCTCTATTGATTTCAAACTAGCATTCTTTAATTAAATTTAATTTTAATTGCATAATAGAAAAATATGATTGATTGTTATAAATCTTATGTAATTTTATTGCAAATATGTATGATTTATCAAATAAATTTAAATTGTGATAAATATTCATGTCTTTAATACATGTATTCATTTTTATAAAAATTGAGATAAAATTCCCTTTTGGTGTGCATTCTATTCCTTACGTAATATTTCTTAAATTAGACATTAATAATAAAAAGGGGGAAAAACTTACGACATTATAGTAAATGCAAACGACTAAAGACACGGCAATCATTGCGGCGCCAATTCCTTTGGCAACGGGAGCGCAGTTCCAGATGGTTAGCGGACCCGTCCCTCCAAACTGACCGAAAGCCAATTCCATGAAATACATGGGCTTTCCGGCCAGTGTTAACATTATGAGGTATGGTATGAGAAAAGCACCCCCGCCTTCAACCCAAGTCATTGTTAAATAGATATTGATTTCTATTTTAAAAATTACATACCATTTTGATAGGCCAGGTATGGAAACCTAATTATGTAAT